GCATGCAGCTCTGGAGTCAATACTGCATTCCTTAATAAACAAATAACCAAAGAAACGAGGAAGCTGACAAACATTTGAAGAGCAGTTCACATACAGGATTCCCTCCATGCAATATAATTCACTACTGCCTGTAATTGTGTTATAGTTAGACAACAATATTTGATATGATCCTAAGCCCTCTGGTGCCATTTGCCTTTGTAGAGGACTTGCAAACACTTGGATCTGGTGTAGAGAAATAATCCACTTATACCCACCATATCCACTGGATAATACAGTCTATATAAAATTACAATATTAATTTTTAAGACCTTTTGAGGGGCAGGTCTGTCATAGGACATAATATATAGAGGTCAGAGAACAACTTGGGAAATCAATTCTCTTTTCTACTATATGGGTTCTAGGCATAAAGCCAGGTTGTCAGGCTATGCCATCTTGCCAGTTCCCCATTATTAAGTCTGAAATTCCATAATTACTGTGATATGTACTCTATACACAAAACAAGTTACTGAAATAACTCACTTTTGGTGAACTTTCAATCCAATTGGTTAAAAACACAGTTAGGAAGTAGACAACATTCAGTGTGACTTAGAAGAAGAAACAGTAGCCACTGAATCATCTAGCTTTGGCTATTTCTATGCTAGATTTTTGGTTCTTTAGAATTTAATTTGCATTCTTATCTGAACAGAACCTCATTTACTACCATCTTTACTCCCAGAGACATCACTGCACACCATGGAATCAGGAGGCAGTTCACCATCAAGCTCAACATTTTAATTCTTAGGTTCGTGTTCTTGGGCCTTGACAGTGGACAGAGCTGTGTTCAGTGGTTGGCACTGTTCTGTTTTGTTTGTGACACTGGGTGTCACTATGCTGCCTATGATGCCCCTGATACCATGATATCAAAGATTCTCCTGCCTCAGCCTCCCGACTGCTGTGACTAAAGGCAGGCACCTCTGTGCCTGGTTTCCTGCTATATTTGTAAGTTACTAGAACCTGTCAGCTAATTCTTATATCCAGCCTTATTTTTTCAAAATTGACTGTGACTTACCAATGTCTTTTTCTATTACTTATAATTTATTTAACTAAGTCACCACGAATCTAATCATCTTTTTATATTGCTGTTTAGGTGGCTACTTCAAATGGTTAAGAATCATTGAGCAGTCTTCTACAGAGGAAAACTTAAAAGTTTTCTAAAACATCAAGAAGACAAACTGATATCCACAGGGAGGACTTCCTCCAGAGTCCACGGGGAGCAGCTATCGGGTCTATAGTTTTGGCGTTCAAGTGCATACAGTTTGTTGTGCCCCACCCGGGACTTTCTCAGTCACAGTCACTTCCACAGCCTGGATGGACACACTCTGCACAGCCACAAAGGATCTCAGGCATCCATATGAAATGAGAAAACTTCAGAAAGGAGAGAGCACAAAGTTCCCTTCTGTTTATGCAAATCACCCTGCCAACTCTAGGGGTGGATTCACCACACATTCATTCTCCCATTCGACAAAGAATTACCAAGTGTCAGAAGGTGAAAAGCAAGCTCAGGCAGTTTTTCTTTTATCTCCATGGTGAGTACTTGTTCTCACTTAATCCCCAAAGCAACATCAGACAACTAAGTTGTGAGTGAAATAAAGACCAGACCGACCACAAATCCCGCTCCTTCCTGAGTGAGACCATGACAGTAGTGGACGGCAGGTGTTTTAGTTTCTCCTCTGTTGCCGCTGTAAACTATCCTGACAGAAAGCAATCTAGGGGAGAATGAGTTTATTCTGCTGATAATTCCAGGCCACTGCCCACTATTGTGGAGAAGTCGAATCAGGAACGTGAGGCATCTCGTCGTATTGCATCCATAGTGAAGAACAAAGAATGGATGCAAGCTCTGTGCTCAGCTAGACACTCATATAAAGGCTGAGGACCAGACCAAAGGAATGGTGCTGCCTACAGTGGTCTGTGTTCTCCCACATTAATTAAGGCAATCAGGACAATCCACTACAGACACACCCATAGGCCAACCTGGTCTAGATAGTCCCTCATTGAGTCTCTGTTCCCACCTAATTCTAGGTTCTAACCAGTTGACAATTTAACATTATCATCTCAGTCCTCATTATAGTCTATCATTATTCTTCATGGGTCTCTTAACAGCCTGTGATGGCTGGGTTTTGTCAACTTGACATAAACCTAGACACGCCTGGGAAGAAGGAATCATAATTAAGAATATGCTTCTATAAGCTTGGCTGGTCTCTAGGCAAATCTGTGGGGTACTGTCGTGATTAATGACTGATGTAGGAGGGCTGACCTCTCTGTGGGCCGGTGGTCCTGGGTGCTGTAAGAAAGCTGAGCAAGCCATGAGAAGCAAGGAGCAAACATGGTTCCTCATGGCCTTGCCTTCATCTCCTGCTTCCAAGTTCCAGCCCTGAGTTTCTGCTCTGACTTCCCTAGCTGGTGGACTGCAACTGAGGGCTGAAAGGAACCCTTTCATTCCCACGCTGAGTTTTGGACATGCTCTTTACCACAATTGAAAGCAAACAACGACATGGTCTACCTTTAGCAAGGGTTACTTATAGTAGAATGGCTCGGGGAATTGAAAATTTTTGGTGAAACATATAAACTTTGAGAGCTGAAAATTCCCCATAAATAGACTCCGAGGTCTGTGGACAGCTGGATCATCTGTCCCGGTCACTTAAATATGCGCGACAGAATTTTGTGATGGCCGATGGAAATGGTGCACTCACTGTCTTCAGCTCTTGTGTTTACTCTATAAATAAACTCTCAGTATTTATAAACAGGGACTGTGGATCCTTAAACACTGTTCCAGAAGAGCCTTGAGTTAGAACAAGCAAAACAGAAAAATTCATGAGCAGGCAACAGCTGTTAAAGGTAATTGCAATATTGGATCTTGATTGCAAAACCACAAAAGAAACGGAGCTTTTCAAGGTCCGCGATGATGAACACTGATGGTGGTCAGGTCCAGGAAGCAAAATGGAGACACACAGTTTCTTCCCGTGGCCTGCAGACAACTTTTGAGTCATCAATTATAAATTATGTTCCAACAGATAAAGCAGAGAGGAAATTAATTTCTGCGATGAGATCTACTTTATAAGAGAGCTTCTTCAAAGCACTCTTTTATTCAGTTTGGGGGTGGGTGTAACTATTGATACTGTTTTACTAACTCTGTTTCCTTCTATGAACTGCAACTTCCCATAATTCCTCAGAGCATACTAAGATTTTAATGGCAAAATTCAGAGGATAGAAGAGGAACTCAGGCGCTGAGAAGAAAGTCGAGGAGAATCCCCTGTGATGATGGAACTTTACTCAGGCAATGCCCAATATAGTGTCTTCCAGTTTAGCCACCTAAGGTTTGGAGCATAGGAAGCTAACTTTAGCTTAATGTAATTTGTGTGTGCTCCCACATCATGAGCGTGTGTGCACGTGTGCATGCGAAGACCCCCAATCCTCAGGTGGCATTCCCGAGGCTGCCATCCACCTTTCTAAGACCAGGTCTCCTTGCTGGCCCACACCATGGTGATTAGCTCACTATGTTGACTGGTCAGTGAGCTCCAGGTTCTTCCCTATTTTTAATCTTCCTCATGCTGTAATTACAAACATGTCCCACAACCATTTTTATTTTATTTCTATGGAGGTTCTGAGGACATTTCCCCATGCTTGCAAACAAGTACTTCACACCCTGAACCATCTCCCCAGTGTTTATTGTAACATATCAAGTAGGAATTTAGATAGTCCTCCACAGACAGAGGCTCTGGTGCTGGACAGGACCATCTCAATGATCAAAAGGTTCCTGGTCACCTTCAATCCCAGTCAATCAGACCAAGCAACTCGTGAGTCAACTCTCACAAAATATAGATGCCCCTGTGAAAGCACCCTCAGTCTTAGACAGACAGGTCAGAAAAGCTCTGAGCAGAGTTCAGGGGAACCAGCTGAGGAAATGTGTGTGTGTTAACAGGAGCAGAGGGTTGGGAAGAGCAAAGGTCAACCCTTTAGCGTCCTGTGTCAAGTCCTGTACTCCCTGCCATGTGTCATTTCTGTCACTGTCGGCTTCAAGGCTTCAAAATAGAACAGATGGCTTGACTTTCCAGGACTCTGCATGCTGAGGAGGTACCTGAGAGCAGAGCGCATCGAGAGCTGTAGTGGAGCAGCCCTGTAGAGACACTGGGGTGCAATCCAGGAAGCGAGGTGAGGGAGAGAGAAGTGATGCTGCACACACAGCACCAGGTTGCTCAAATCCCAGACGCAATTTGTGTTAATAGTGAGCTTGAGGTAAAGATGCGTGCTTCAGCATTTCAGGAAACGTCCGCGCTTCTCGCAGAATGCACGGGGAATAAAGATGCTCCCCAAAGCCATCATTCCTCAACTCTATGCCATGGTTCCACTCAGCTTATTGGAGAATATGTTCTGGGCCCTCTGTGTGAGTGTGTACCTATGCATGTGAGGGTGTGTGTGTGTGTGTGTGTGTGTGTGTGTGTGTGTACATGTGTTCTTGGGTATAGAAGCCAGCTTGAGGTTTTGTTCCTTAGGACATTGTTCTCGTTTTTAGAGACAGGGTCTCTCATTTTTATCCGGGACTCACCAATTTGACTTAACTGGCTATGCAAAGATTCAGCTATCTCTGCCTCTCCCCCTGAAATTCGAAGCACATGCCACCACACCTGGCTTCTAAAATGTAGATTCTGGGGATTAAACTCAAGTCCTTATGCATGCAATGCAAGCGCTTAACTGTGTCTGTGGCATCTCTCCAGCCCAGGTGACACTGTCGCCTGTGAACTCGTCTCAGTGGAGCTGTTCTTTGTAAGAATGCAACTCCCAGAAGTTGAGGATTTGAGAGACACTCCATTTTAATGACACCACCTGAGATAGCGAGCCGTTGGGATTTTGGTGCAATGGTGCAATATACCTTACCCCTGGGGAGGCTGGCCAGCTTTGAATGCAAGCAAGTTCCGGTTGAGGGCATGTTGGCAGCAAAGGCCATTTTCCACATAAGCACATACCTGGAGAAGCACATCGGAAGCTGGTCTCACGCGCTGCTGGAACAGGATACTGAGCGCCCGGTTCTGTTGTTCCAAGTCAAACACTCTGGTCTTCAACTTTACACACTCCTCCCTCAGGTCCTACGACAAACACAGTAAGGAGGGAAAGGCAGTTTGACTGACAGATGTCTTTGCATATCACAGCCATAGTTCATATGATACCTCAGACACATTAGGGGGGAAAATACCATTCTGTTCTTCAGAGCACCCAGAAAAATAAGTCATTAAAAACCATTTTCTTCCATAGACTATTGTCTGATGGAATTGCTAGGATCAGGGAAGCCCGATTGTACAAAAATAAATAAATAAAGCACCTTGAAATCAGAAATGCATTAATGCAGGCTGCTATTTTTGAAGGCAGTAAATCTTAGTAATATAAAGTCAATTTATGTTTCTACCCATGTATTATGTTTCTTCGCTGTCTCCATAAAAGCAATCATAAAGCACAAACCACAAAGACAACAATATTTTTACAGCAAATAAAGAACTGACGAACTAAAGGAACTACCACTTTAGATGGAACCTTCTGGTGTCATTTAGGGAAATGAGTCGAGAATCTCAGCATTGTGACTCATGAAGTCATTGATACATTTAGTGGGAAGTGGTAACTTTGAATGGAAGGGTGTATGTGTGTGTGCATGTGCTTCCATGTACATGCAACAGTATATACATATGCAGATATATGAGCACATATATGATCGTGTATGTGAAAGATGCCTACTTGAGTGTTGTTCCTTAGGTGCCATCCACTTCAATTATGTATTTGTGTGTTTGTGTCCATGTGCATGTGTGGCTGTGTGAGCATGGATGTGTGTGGAGGACCAAACAGGACACAAGCTGTTCTGCTCTATAACTATTTACCTTACTCCTTTGAGATAAGGTATCTCACTGAATGTCATACCTTATCTCATGATGTATGCATGGAGGTGAGATAGGTGTGTATGTATGTAATGAGTATGTGTGGATGCATGCATGCTATAGTATATATGGACGTCAGAGGACAACCTGGGTTTTTGGTCCTCACTTTCCACTTTCTTTGAGACAGGATTTCATTGCTTGCTGCTGACCCTAACTGGCTTCTGGGAGTTCTCGTCCCCGAACCTTCCATTTCCCTGTTTAGCTTGACATGGGTTCTGGGCATGTGAATTCATCTGCACATACTTGAGAAGCAAGCACTTCACCCCATCTCTCCAGCCCTAACCTTCTCATGTTGTGACATGAGTTTGTCAGTGTTTACAACCACCTTGGGACACATGCAGCTCACACAGATTGGAAATACCGGGCTGACATGATAGCAATGGGAAGCCTGTCCTGTATCAACCTGCTTTGCACACGAGAGCTATAGGGCAGCTGTGGCTGAGTGTGAGCATGCTCTACCATGCTCTGCAGCACTGGCTCTGTGAAACGGCATGGGGCAAAGAAATCTTTCAGAGTATGGCTCCCTGCACACTGCACACTCCTTTCATCTTTTCTAGTTAAATGTGTGAATCCCATACACAGAGTTTAGCTGATGCCTGTTGCAGATGCACGCTTGGAATGCGGACTATAGGAAGACAATGCAGAGGCCAGAAGCAGAAGTATATGTATTCTGTCTGTGGGTGCACCACCATTTTTTAAAGCATTGAACCTCTGCTTATCGCCTATGCTAATTTCTGTTGTCAGCATGCACATAACACTCTGCTCCCAACACTAATTGTTTTCACTACTACTAATTAAGCAATTAATAAAACCCGACTGTGGGGTAGATAAATATTAATAGTGCCCATTGGCTGGGAAAACACATGCACTCTGATTTGCAGTAGGTAAAAGGAAATGCAGACTGAGAGGCTTGGGTTTGTAAGGAGAAATGGGGCCTGAGACCACAGCAGTGAAACCGCCTAGTAGCACAAGGGTAAAACCAGGCAGTTCTTCAGGTGGTAAGATAACAGAAACGAAGATGTCTTCTGCTGAGTTTATTTTCTTTTCATTGATTTTAGGAGGGGTGTTGTGTTTAGTGTATGTGTGTTGGTTAGAGGAAAATTCATGGGAGTTGATTCTCTCCTCCCAACAAGAAGGTCCTAGGAACTAAACTCAGGTATCAGGCTTGGCAGGGAGTGCCTTTATCCAGGGAGCCACCTCTCCAGCCTCTACAAGAGAGTTTTTATACAAACATCTGAATTTCAATGCCCACTTCTATTATTCAAGGAACAGTCAAGGTTAATTCGTAGGAACACAGTCATGGAGCCTGGGGACAGTTTGATTGATAACCATTGGCTTGTCCAGCCCAGCATGGGGTAAGGAGAAGGAGATGCAGAACAAGATATCAGTCCATGGTCACTGACAGCAACTGAGCTGCTCTGGATGTTTGTGACAGGATAGAGCTGCCTGTGTGGTCTTTAATGTTTTTATAATGCTCACAGAACCTGTGGGTAGCTGCTGTGTTAGTTACTTAAATTGCTGGAAAATATTCCTGACAAGAAGCATCTTAGGGAAATCAGAATGTATTCTGGTTCACAGTTTGAGGGTGGGGACAGGAGGATGAGGCAGCGGGTCACACTGCACGCACAGGCAGGAAGCCGAGAGAGATGAACGCTGGTGTTCAACTAACTTGTTCCATTTCATTCAGTCCAGGATCCCAGACCATGGAAAGCCGCTATCCACATTTAGATTATCACTCCTCTCTTCAATTAAACCGACGTAAAAACTCTCTCAGACTTGCCCAGAGATTTGCATAGTAGGTGATTCAAGACTGAACATCACAGCCATTGGTGTCTTTTTCTGTTACCTCCAGGCTTAATAGAACACACGTGTGCCCATGTGCACACACAGAAAGACAACGCGAGGGAACTGAGACAGCAAAACAACCTTCCTTGACTGCTTCTGGGCTGTCTTGGCGGGAGGTGGCAGCTGTCTGTCTGCTTGCTCTGTGCTCAGGGTTGGAAGCCAATTGACATAAAGGACTAGGTGATATATTAGTATCTCAGCTGGGTAGCAGAGCAGCTGTTTAGACTCTGCTGGTTACAGAGCACCGACACCAAGACTGAGAACAGCTCCCTGGCAAAGCTGTTGGAGAGAAATGGCACTACATTATTCACATGCCAGAACCTGGCATTGTCACTAGTGGCAAAGGCTGGACCATCTATCTCCTCTTGGATTCCTTAAGCCAGACTTAAGGGTGTACTCTGCTCAAAACAGATGTGTGTTTCTTCAGATAGAAAATGGAAAAGGGGACAAGGAAATGTCTCATTTAGTAAAGTACTTGCCACACAACCATAAGGACCCAAGTATCATCTGCAGCACCCATGTAAAAAGGAGAGGCATGGCAGCAAGAGCCTGTGACCCCAGCATTGTAAAAGTGGAGGCAGGCAGATTACTGGGGCTCTCTGGGCAGCCAGCCTATGCGGTGAGACACCTTCCCTCAACAAAAACAAGACAAGAGAGAGGAGAGAGAAACTGAATTATGCAAAAGAGTTTTTGGTTTCCACATCTGTAAACTGAGGTACCACATCTGTAAACTCGAGCTTTCGATAGCTCAGATGTGTCACTTGCTCCTTGGGTCAGGTGCTGCAAGCTCGTTTAGTCATGGCTCTCCTTGGGGGCTTTCATTGATGTCCCCTTCTCAGCTAAGGTTTCCAGAACTTCTATATAGAGAACTGTCTTTCCATGGAAAGGCAGGCCACACCCCAGATACACAGTCTTAACATCAGGCACCTAAAAGGCCAGGCAGGTAGTATGAATGCGTGCCTGAGTCAGGGTAAGAGGAAGCAATGAGTTTTGTGTGGCTAATGGAACAACCATCCTTCAACACAAAGCCCTGATGTTAAGCCACTGTGAGTGTGCTTGTGTGTGTGGTGCTCATGTGTCCATTGTGGAGAGCAGAGGAGAGCTGGGGGTGTCATTCCTCGGCTGTGTTCTACATTTTCGTCTGAGAGAGGATCTCTTGATGGCCTGGAATTCGCCAAGTGCGCTAGGATGGCTGACCTAGCAGCCCCAGGGATCCACCCACCTCCAGTTCTCTCACCTCTCTAGTGCTGGGATTGCAAGTGTATGCCACCGCACTTGGCTTTTTACATGGGTTTTGGGAATCAAATTCAGGTCTGCATGCTTGTAGAGACAAGCACTGATCCATCTCCCGAGGACCAGATTAAGCCGTCCTTAATCCATGGGATGGCGGAACAGTTTATGCAATTACAGGAAATGGAGCTATTATAAAACTAGTTGACAGCTAGTTATGAAATAAGGTTCAAAGTAAGATCCATTCTGAGATACCTTGCTTCCTAATTTATAGTGTGGCTCAACATACAGCAGGCCCTGAATGCTTTTGCTAGGGAACACGACAGCATTCCTAGGTTTTTCTTAATGTTCACGGGCTATCTTGACCTTTTGTCTCATCCCCTGAGACTATAATTAGCTGTTGTGGTTTTAGTTCTGTTGCTGTGATAAAATATTCTGATAGAAGGCTACTTAGAGGAGATAAGGGTTCATTTGGCTTACAATGCCAGATTCCAGTGCATTATCTGTGGGGAAGGAGCTTGAGACAGCTGGTCACATCATGTCTACACTCAAAATCAGGGAGAGATGATGCATCCAGCCCACCTGCCTGCTGCTACTGATAACTCAGTTACCTTCCCCGACTCTCACACATCTCAGGGCTCAGCCTAGGGTAATGGGATGTCCACAATATGCTGGGTCCTCCTACACCAATCAATAACTAAAACAATGCCCCCCCGCAAATGCCGACTGACCCTAGTCTAGATAATTCTCCTCCCAGGTTGGCCCATGCTGACAGATGAAACCAACTAACACAAGCAGCCTTGGGTTTCAATCTCTGTAGTGGCTTTCATCACATACCTTTCACTCCTGTGGATATACGTGGAAGGAGCCAGTAAGTCCCTGAATGTTGAATGCTAACAAGTGGGCACAATGGTGTAGGGGTAAGACCATATACAGTTTCTGCCACTTTGTAGCAATTCCAATTGTGGACAAAGTGTTTCCCTATTCTTACACATGGTTGCACACTGAACAAAATTAAAAAAGGACTCAAAACGTGGATTTTAAATATTGAATATATGTGGATGCTTATAAACGTACCCAGGGCCTTT